GCAGTGAAATGAAATAAAAGCCGCTTTTATTGAGTCGCCGTAAAATGCGAATATTATCGATAATTAAACAAAATTATTAGTACTGTAACTTTTAAAATCACTGTCATGAGGCTTCCAAGTTGAAATACGTGAGTTTACGTAACACATGCAACCTTGTGCAGAGGTGCAATTTCCCAGCATTGACTAGAATCGGTAAACTTAAAGGAAAGGAGCAACATACAGAACATTAATTCCGGTTGCTGGGTGACGCCTGTTTTGTTTAAGGGAAAACGCATTCCTATCGAATTACTCTGGCAAAACGGTCCCGTGATTGGTGAGTGGGTCTCATTCATTCGAACAGTGCCTCTCACGGGATCAGTGTTCCCAAGCTCACTACAACCAGATGCCAGGATAAAGCGAAACTGCCTACGTATAGCCAAGACGGTGGGGAATTGTCAATGCGTAGTGAGAGACGCGAAGGACAAAAAAGGAATCGACGAGCACCCAAGAGAGATGCTGCCGTTCTCAGTTAGCTCGATCATCTAACTGACATCCTTTGTTATAAAAATAAAAAGTAAATGATATACACACAAATATTACTAAAGCAATGCGTTAAAATCGTAAAAATTAATTGGTCAGACTACCAATCCAATTAAGATACAGAGTTTGTTCGATGCCGGAGGAAAAAAGCTGCGAGAAAAAAGGTGAAATGTATGGAAGAGCAAACAGCGCGAGAAAGTAACGAGGAGCGGGTAATTCGTTATAAAAAAAATTGCTCGTAGTACATTCTCATTCGATGGATCAGCAATTTTCCTATGAAAGAGCTCGAAGGCGAGGATTAGCGAACCGTGGGAAAACCGTTCACGTTCAGTCGGCAAAACGGACTCAGATTTCCATAACTGTCTGTCCTAATACTGCTGCATACCTTTCATTATTGTTTACATATAAATAAACGGGCAACGGTGCCGGAGAATTGAAACAATTCACTTCGCTTTCCCCGATAAATTGAACATCGATTCAGATCAACCTTGGCATACATCAATAGTTCATAGAAAACGTGTATTGGGCGAACGAACGTAAAACTGGAACACTTCGCTAATTTAATCAACCGTAATTTGAAGATTCTGATGAATTTAAGCCGGACGATTTATCTGATCAAATACTAAGCAATGATTGCAGATTATTGTGAATTGAAATTGCACGTATCTAACAGCAGGCGTAATAAGTGAGCAAGACTATATCGAGATATCTGTGCAAAATGGATATACACAAATAAGAATGAATTAATGATCGTAAAATATATTATTCAAACGTTAAAGAAATACATAATTACAGTTTTGATTGTATTTAAATTTATTCGCGTGTTTTTGAAATAAAAAATTGTATTGTAAAAAAGGAGTTTCATTTGCATCAAACGAAGTTATTAGCAAGAAGCTAACAAGCTGTTGCTTTTCATTACGTGCATGTGATGAAGTGTTATGTGCACGTGACGTTTGGCCAAATTGATGTAGATACTTTTAATAACAAAAGCTGTTGCGTAAAATTCGAGTTCCATAAATCGGAAATAAGTGTTCCAGCATAAATCATTAAAAAATAAAAATGTCACGAATGTGCAGTTTTTCTGTACAAAGAGATCCTCGCATCATCTTTGGAATCAAAGACTCTTTCTTCCGTAATTGGAGCTCTGCATTCTACAGGTCGTAAGTGAGCCACGAGGTTAATCCATATAAGGAGTAGGCAATGAGAGAAATGTATTTTCTCTATAAAATCGTTTACTCATTTATTCCTTACGCAATTGTGAAATGTATATAAAAAAGAAAAGCAAATATGCATTTGATCACTACTGATTGTCAAAAGGTGTCTCTGAAATAATGAATTAACATAATGAATTAACTATGTGAAATACATTTCGGTTCAATAACACGTGAGAATTCAACTGCTATATCCAGACTAGAACTGGTTGGAACTAACAATGAGAGTCCTTTGAATCTATTGCGGAACAGAGAACGTGAGTCATCGAAGCTGTACTGTACTATAACTTGTTTCTGATGATAATACACGCAGCATTCTCTGCCGACGTAATGTTCAGTTTAGGAGAGCGAGATTCCTTTAAACAGTATCATTCTTTTTGTTTCACTCTCTGTTCTAATTGCTATACTTCTAATTTTTTAGTTTTAAAGAGTGTGCATTTTTCATGCGTTACATTTTTTGACATACTGAATTAATTAAGAATTAAAATTTTCCAAATAAATGACGCAAGTACTAAACTTTGTAGGTACAAACAAACAGCAAGTTCTGAGGCGCGGGGAAGCCGTCAATGAAAAGGAATGACCAGATAAGGACTGCTTTGTTGTACTAAACAATACCTTACATGCGTTACAAGATCCGCGATAAACTCTGTTTGTTGAAACTCTCTGGAGCACGCCCGTGCCCCGTTAATAAAATAATCACCTACATTATGGAACGATAAAAACAGCTCCCGATTAATACGTCATTGCATTCGTCGCATTTCATAAATATCAAATTTCTCGCTTTCGAATCGTAGAGCTGATTATGCTTTTGTATTTTCCCATATTTGACTCTGTTTATATTATTAATTATTTCCTACATTGAATGAGAATAATAGCTCGAGGCCATGTCATCATAAACAGAGAGAAATAATTTAGCGATATTTCCTTATTTTGCCATTAGCTTAACCCGCTTATTTTTCCATCACTTAATTGCTATTTCTTAATTGTTATAGTATAATAACATATTAGTATACAGCATCTCGAATAAGTAGCTTCTGTAAAGCAATAAAGAAAGTTAGGTGTGGCTAGCCTAGCAGAGTCGTTGAGTCACATAATCGGAATCGTACAACATCTATAGTGAATACCACAACAGGTATTTACTATGCAAAGGAACTCTGTTCTCGTATTTAAAATTCATTAGTTTATCCTATCAGCTGGATATTAAATTCTTTTGAGATTTAAATAAGAATTACTCGACAGTATATTGAAATTATTATAAATGCGTTATTATCTAATGACTCATAAACTCTTGTCCCTTTGTCTCACTTAACTATGCCTAAATTATTATCATGAGCGAGCAAATGTATGATAGGCAATTGGCGGACTTCTGATGTTATGTATAACAATGATATTTATAAATGAATGAGAAACTGATGGAATTATGGAGAAATCTTTCTCCTGCTGCATCGCGCGTGCCAAGAGACTTTGATGCCAGGATAGTCATGAAATACAACGTCTTTCGACTCATCGTTGATCTCACGATTAGGAGAACCGAAGGACACGTCACCATACTTGTTGCGGCTTTTCGCTTTACAGAAGAGGAGGAAACTTCCGGTTTTTTATACCAACGTTCAGTTCGTTCTCTCGACGAACGTTTTTCATTTTATTTTCCACGTTAAAGTAATTGCGTAACGTTTCGCTGAAGTACAGTAATAGGAATAATCAAATTTCGTGAATACAATATACTATTTAATATGCTGCAATGTCTAATATGAACGGAAGATCAGTCTGTTTTTTATGCCCGTATTTTATATGCCGATCACACAAATTCGTGAGTTCCTGTCGTGCGTTCATTCTCGAACGTGTCGCGTGCGCTCATGCGAGGGAATCGTGAAAAAACTGTAGAAGCCCGCACGATACGAATCTTAATTAGGAATAGTTCGTTGCCGCTTCCTCGGACTCGAGCACGTATAATTTTGTTACGATTTAATTGTTGCTTATGACTTTTTCAGTTTCTTTCTCGTCCGCAACTAAGTAAAAGTCGGTTTCTAATCCACAAATTAGCTTTATAACAAACGTGGTAATCGCATACCGAGCGGCGAGTGGATTTTTCCGTTTCCACGTGAAAGTTCTTCCATAAAACAAAACGAACGAAAGTATGAGGATGATGCTTCGTTTATTTCCTTACGTATAATTGCACATAAGTAGTTTTAGATTTATGCGAATGTATCTTGCGTAACATCAAAATGTCAAATGGTGCAGACACACAGTTTCTAGTTTCAATTATTCTATTGATAGATGTTTTAGCTTGTCGTTCCTTCTGGAAAACTGTCTACGGAACTGTAAACATAAACGAACGAAAAAATGCAATGAAGTTCCATGACTTCGACGAATTTTGACGGTATAACCGTAATGCTTGACAGTCCCTTCTAGCCGCACAATCTTACGAGGGCGAGCAGATGCGTCTCATGCATTATTTATTGGATACCATCGATCCTCCTGTAGGTGCAGTGGACTTCATCAACCACCTAGGTTGAGGAGTCACGAATGTTGTTTATATTATTTAAACAAGACGAACTGCATAATAAAAAACTTGCTTCGCTAACACTGTTAAACTAAATAAATTAAACGTAAAAAGACGTCCGACGTAAAATCTAGAAATAAGTGTTTCACAATTTCGGAAGCAATGTTTGATGTACTGAATCAATCGATGCAGTGTGTCACAATATCACCAAAGTGGGATAGCTTATAGTGATAACAAAAATTAGGACAGACACAGAGCTCGTTGATTACAACGCCTCGTGTACCCTACTTTTCACCAGTGTCTATTTCCAGTATTGAAATATTTGATCAGACAAAGTATCTACAATAATTCCGGCTATTATTACTGTAATCAACTGTAATGCAACTGCGACAGAATTAGAGCCATTTTTATAATTTTTTCCATTTTGCCTTTGAGTTACATGATGGAATCTTATTTAAAGAACCGTTTTTAATTAAAGAAATTTCCGCTCGAAATTTCGTTTCGATGTTCCATCAGTAGAGATTTTTCCTAACGGCGATGATATAGTGCAGGACCAAAGTCAATCCAATTACGCTGTTCATCATTTTATCCTTTATCGATCTTTGGTTCAAAAGCGTTCACTTTCATGTAATAACAGTAGGTCGGAATTTCGATTAAAAATAAACGATTCATTCGAGAAGTAGCCGAGATTAATTTAATTAATAAGATCACGACATGATTTGTCTTATTTCAATATTTAAAGAGATCTTTTTCAACATACGTTTCAGTACTTACCAGTTTGTTAGTGGTCACTGACGAAGCGCCGCAGGACATCAGATACAGAAACTATGACGAGCGTCCTCGGGAAGCGTATTTCAATGGATCAGCGTCCCTGAAACTAAACTCGTTCGTGTCGGTGCACAGGCACAGCGGTCTGAGCTTTCGAACCTGCGAGGGCGGTCGTCTTTTCATGCAGAAATACAACGAGGATTCGGTCAGTCTAGAAGTGACCCCGGATGGACTGTTGTTCGTCGCCATCGTTGACCAGCAACGATATACAGCGAGACTCAACGCCAGACTATTGAATAATGCTTGGCACAACGTCAACTTATTCTTTAGACTTGGAAATCTCACTTTGAACGCAGCAGGTCATACGCAGGTAATTAAATAACAAGACACAAAAAATGTGTTTCTTATTATTCAAGTTTATGCAAACAAAAAGTCAAGTAAATCGTTGAGTCAATTAATTAAGGCAGACTAAAATTAAACAGTAAAAGTACTTATATTCTTTCCACTAAATTATTACCGACTTTATCAATTCAAATATGTACTTTAATATCGCTGAATTACAATTGATAAAAATTTGTAAGCGATCAAAGGAAAAGCTTCCCTTTATTCTTAGATACGATGTTGATCTTTTAAACAAATCTGATTAGGTAATCGCTAATGCTACGTATAATGCGGCGATTCTTTCGCTACCCGACTACGATCTGAATGACTCTCTGATCGTGGGAGAAGGATTTAAAGGATGTATCCTCCAAGGTCCTGGCATTCTGTTTAACGATACCATCAATAATGGGGCAGTCTTTGGTCCCTGTCCTGCGGAAAACAAAGGATGTAAGGATTTCAACATTCCTCTAATATAACGAATACCGTATTTTACAACGTTTAAGAATTGCATAAATTTCGTCATGCGAAAGTAAACTCTTGGAATCTTACGATTAACGTGATATTATTAAATACTCAAGTTATCCTGTAAAACTATCGAATATTGAGATTATTTTATATGAGAAACGCGGCGATAATCTGTAGCACTTACGTTGCACATTTCCAGAGTGAAGGTCACGTGCATTTAATTAATTGCTGTCAAAACCCTCAGACAACACGTGTGAACATTTGTACCACTTATAAAGGTATAATGTAGTGGAATTGCATGGCAGGTTTTCCTACGAAACTTTCAGGTGGTACGAGCGGACTTGGTGGTTTAGGATCGAGCAGTATCACCAGCGTGGATTTCTGCTATCACGAGCCATGCATGATGCATGGTAAATGCGTTTCACGTCAGGATCGTTACGAGTGTCACTGTTACGCCCGATATTCCGGCAACAACTGTGAAAATGACAATGGTAGACATTTGATATCGAATACGGGATTTTGGTGTATTGTTCTTGCATGTTTTTTCTGTCTGCCTTCTAGAATGGCAATCATGAATCACCAATACTTCGACTGAGAATCGATATTAAAAGTTTCACAGAGAGCCATGCTAACAACCGACCTTCCAATCATTTACAAAAAAACTCTTTCGCTCACGATATTTTTTTCACTCGAATATTTCACTCTGACATTTACTTTTCCTACCACTAACTGCAAACAATTAGTATATCAACGGAGATAAAGATACTACGATTAATAATGAGGAATGACGAGAGCCATGCTAATAATAATGCTGACTGCTTTTTAATTTTCTACGTTTACTTTCATTATATGTTGACCTTATCGTCCATTCGTTTCACAATTTGCTTATCTTATTCATCGCAGGTATCCGAATTTCAGGGGCACGTGGCACTCAGCTGATTTTACGCTTTTTTTTCTTAATATTTTATTTTTTCATCCGTTCATTCCTGCAAGCTCTGAATTATCCTGTTTATAAAAAATTTATCAGGTCCGCCATGCTTGAGCAGCCCTTGTCGCAACGGTGGCACGTGCAACGAAGATCTGAAAGGAGATTTCAGTTGCGTGTGCAAGCCAGGATTTACTGGAATTTTCTGTGAATCTCAGCTCGGCGTACGACTTTGCGAGCAGAGTCCGTGCAGAAACGACGGTGTTTGCTTAGCGCTAACCGAGACTGAATACAAGTGCGAATGTATGCCCGGATGGACCGGGAAAAATTGCGAAATCAATTTCAACGAATGCTCCCCGAATCCTTGCAGACACGGCGGAGTGTGCATCGATGGCATCAACAATTATACATGTACATGCGATAGAACAGGGTACGCTTATCTTATCGTCAGCTATTTTCTTATCATACGTATCATAAATAGTTATCGGTAATTTTCATTACTTCCCAGATACGAGGGTCCGAATTGCGAAATCGACATCGACGAATGTCTAGCGAATCCTTGTTTGAACAACGGCGTGTGCTATGACAATTACGGTGGCTATATGTGTCATTGCCCGGACGGTTTCGAGGGTCAAAATTGCGAACTGAATTTAAACGAGTGCATGGTAAATCCTTGCATGCACGGCGCCGACTGCGTGGACGATGTTGGGTCCTATCATTGCAACTGTCCCACGGGGTACGCCGGCCGACATTGCGAGCTCAGAAGTCTCTGCGAGAACGCGGCGTGCCCGTCGAACAGTATTTGCATCGAAGACGCACACGGTCCGCAATGCGTCTGTAATCCTGGATTCATGGGCAATCCTCCGAATTGCACCATCAATTATTGTGCCAGTAACCCGTGCGACAACGGCGGAACGTGCACAAGTAACAAGGACGGATACAATTGTACTTGCCCGCCGGAGTGGAAAGGTAAGGAACGGATAAAATATACTTCTTCAAATGGACGTTCGATCGATTGATATCGTGGACATTACAAATTTAAGATACTTGTGAAACGTGATTAACACCCTCTTATGACTTTTCTTCTGTATTCTGTACTGCACTTCGAATGTTTCATGTCTTTTACATCGTCGCACGCTGTCTGTATAATATGTGTGTTGTCTTTTCCTAATGAACATCGACAATTAGGAGCAACGTGTCTTACACCAGCCTCAGATTGGTGCCCCGCCTGTTACAACGGCGGCAGTTGTATCGAGACGCGTTTCGGCATTATGTGCCAGTGCCCGAGATTCTGGACAGGACCGCAGTGCAAGGATCCGATCACTTGTCGCGATCTTCCTTGTAAACAAGCTTCCGCTTGTCATGATTATGTGAGTGTGAGAGATATTCGCGAATGGCTTTGTATGCACTTATAGATCGCGATTGATAAAACGCGTCGCGTCTTATCTCTATGAGACATGTTGCTTTATCTGTTACGTCCCGTCTCGAATAGCCTGGCGGTTATTATTGCACCTGTGAGCCAGGATGGACGGGGTCCGAGTGCTCCATCGACGTGGACGAGTGTTCCAGTGATCCGTGCCGCAACGGCGGCATTTGCATTGATCAACAGAATAACTATTACTGTCAATGTCTTCCAGGATATACCGGTAATCGTCTAATTTGCACATGCTCTCTGCGCTTTCGTCAATTCGTTTTGCTACATCACCCTTTCATGTTTGCATTGTCTCTACTAATATCTAAGAAAAATATTTTATTGTTTTTTTTTATATTCTTGCCTTTGTCAGTTAATTACAAAATTTACTTGTCTCTTAACATTGATTCCCATGTTGAAATCGTGGAATAGACCAAAAACAATACTGCTCAATGTCACCAGGTAAAACTTGTCAGATCAACGTGGACGAGTGCCTGTCACAACCCTGTCAAAACGGGGGTACCTGTATCGACAGAATCAATGGATACGTGTGCAATTGTACGAAGGACTTTATGGACGAGAACTGTGAGCGCGAGTACAACGCTTGCGCGATGAATCCCTGCCAGAATAATGGAACGTGCACGCTGATACCGAGATCGCGGCGGGAATTCGTTTGCGAATGTCCCCACGGTTTCGAGGGGAAAATTTGCGACGTCAACGTGGACGACTGTGTAGATGTGATCTGTCCCGATGGGAAAGTGTGCATCGACGGTATCGCCGGTTACGAGTGCAAATGTCGCGAGGGTTACAGGGACCCTAATTGCACCCTTATCGTTGATCATTGCGCGGCGAAGCCTTGCAACAACGGCACGTGTATCGATCTCGGAGAACACGGTTTCGAGTGCAAGTGCAAGAACGGCTTCAAAGGTACATTTCATTAAACCAAATTAATTTGCATCAAATAAGATACGGAGTTAATTTTCATTTACGAAATCACCCGGTTTTGTTAACTTGCTAATTAATGTATCTAAATTTATAGGAAAGTTCTGCGACGAAGACGTGAACGAATGTCAGGTGGAGGGTAACTCTTTATGTAACTACGGTATCTGCGTGAACAACGAGGGCGGTTATAACTGCTTCTGTAGACCAGGATTTTCCGGTGATCACTGTGACATCAACATCGATGAATGCTTATGTGGCCCGTGCAAGAATAACGCCACGTGCATCGATGGTATTAACACGTTCGAGTGTCAATGTCCACCCGGTTACTCCGGGAAAACGTGCGACATGGACGTAAACGAGTGCGAGAGCAACCCCTGCTTCAACGGTGCGACTTGCGTCGACGAGATCGCTAGTTACACGTGCATCTGTTCGCCCGGTTTCAGCGGATTGAATTGCGAGATTAACATAGACGATTGCGAATCGTCACCGTGCTTGAATCACGGCCAGTGTATCGACGGCATAAATAATTATACCTGTGATTGCAACGATACCGGGTTCGAGGGCGCGCATTGCGAGAAGAACATCGACGATTGTCAATCGGAGCCCTGTGCAAACGGAGCTCTGTGCATAGACGACATTAAAACTTACAAATGCCAGTGTTATCCTGGTTATACCGGTAAAGATTGCGAAGTCGATATAAATGAATGCGAAAGCTCCCCTTGCCAGTACAATGGCACTTGCCTAGAGAGGTCGAATCTCGACTTATACAAGAGCGACGCGTTAACGTTGCCGTCGATATTTAATCAAGAATTCAGCTACGCGAATGCAAGTGGGTAAGTACGATCTATGTGAAAGTCATGGCTACTATAATCCGTAGTCCGATTTTCATCGTAAATTTAAATCCTCCGACAGGTACGAATGCCTCTGCGTACAAGGTGTTACCGGGAAAAATTGTGAACTAAATATTAACGAGTGCGACAGCAATCCATGTTCAGCTGGAACATGCGTGGATCGCATCGGTGGTTACACTTGCGAATGCGACGAGGGCTACGAGGGTGATCATTGTCAACACGACATCGACGAATGTAAACGATACTCACCCTGCGAGCACGGTCTATGCACCGATGGGAGGGCCGATTACACCTGTACCTGCGACCCAGAATACGGGGGTAAAAACTGTTCGGTGGAGCTGACCGGTTGTCAAGGGAATGCATGTCAAAACGGTGGGACTTGTTGGCCATATCTCATCGACGAAACGATACACAAATTCAATTGTACTTGCCCGAACGGATTTCATGGAGAAATTTGCGATCATGTAAGTCTCGACTTTTTTCACACACCGCCGATAGGCAGTTAATACTCGTTAAACAAGTAGTGAAAGATCTCTTTATTTTTATTGTTTTTCTTATTACTCGCTTAATTCAATTATACTTGCTGTTATATCTTGCACAAAATCACGTTGCACAGACGAAGGTGCGTAAATGGAAAAATCAATATCTCTTACGTTTCCCATTTATATAGTTCCGCTTTTGCTCCTTTCCAATATAGGTAACAACGATGTCGATGAATGGCAGCTCATACGTTTTAGTAAATACTACTCGAGACGAAGGATACGATATACAATTCCGCTTTCGAACTACATTGCCAAACGGATTGCTTGCTATCGGAAAAGGCTCGACGTTTTATATCCTCGAACTCGTTAATGGAAAATTAAATCTGCACTCGAGTATCCTGAATAAATGGGCGGGCGTATTTATCGGGAGCGGTTTGAACGATTCCAATTGGCAGAAAGTATTCGTTGCGATAAACGCTACGCACCTTGTACTCTCGGCCAACGAAGAGCAAACGATCTATCCCATTAGTTTGAACGAAGGTTCCAACGCGAACCATACGTCCTTCCCGATGACGTACGTCGGTGGTACCACTAGTTACCTACAACGATTAGCTCATGGCCCGCATTTCTTCATTGGTTGCACCGAAGATGTGGTTATTAATGGAGAATGGGTATGTTATACATTGTATCCTAAATAGACAATTAGTGAATTTTTCAAGACACGGACAATTTTCGTCATCTAGGTATACTCCGGTACCTCGTCAAAGACGGTGTACATGGAAGACATCGAGCCGGGATGTCCACGCGAAGCTCAGTGTTCGCCAAACCCTTGTCAAAACGGTGGTCACTGTACGGATCGATGGCGCGATTTCTCTTGTAAATGCGAAAGGCCGTATCTCGGATACACGTGTCAATACAACATGACAGCTGCTACGTTTGGATATGAGAACATTACCAACGGATACGTAACAGTGACAGTGTCCGATATGGCTAGAAGGGCTGTTAGATCGATCGCAGATATCTCCATGTTCATTCGAACAAGGCAAGACAGGGGCGATATATTTTATTTGGGTTCGGAACCGAATATGCCAGCGGATCAAAAGCCTCAAGAGAAAACTTACATAGCTGCTCAATTAGAAGGTGGTGAATTACTTGTTAGGATTCAGTTCAACGGTACCGAGGCTTACACAGTCGGTGGCGTGAAATTAAACGACGGAAACAATCATTTGATACAAGTAATCAGGAACGTGACGTTGGTACAAGTGAAAATTAACGGTACCGAATATTTCCGAAAAACTATCAGCGCCTCCGGTCAATTAAACGTAACGGTCTTGTATTTGGGTGGTTTGCCGCAAGCGTCCAGATATATACGACAAGTTGATAATCGTCAAATCGAAGTGTCGCAGTCACCGCAAATAAATTTCAAGGGGATCATTCAAGATGTTCAGATATCCAATGGAACTAAGATTATGGTCGTTGAATTCTTTCCGTTAAAGGTAAAAATATAACAAAGTCGTCTCACGTATTTCGTTATTTTCTTACAACACGAATCGCAAATATAAAGTAATAAAAATTTAAAACATAGGAGTCGAATGCACAGCACAAACATAATCACATTTATTTCCAGGCAAACGATATTCCTACACCGATACAATTCGGCAATGTTACCTTCGATGACAAAAAAGTTCTGAAGGGTGTCATATCTGACAATGTGTGTGTGAGCAACCCGTGCAATCACAACGGAACCTGTCACGTCACGTGGAATGACTTTTGGTGTCAATGTCCTCGCGGATACACCGGCAAGACTTGTCAAGAAATGGAGTTCTGCCAATTGCAAGACTGCCCGGCTGGATCGAAGTGTCAAAATCTAGATGACGGCTACGAATGTATCGCTAATGCGACTTTTAATGGAATAAGCACCTTTTTCACCTACGTTTATGCTCAAGAGGAAGAGAAGAACGTGTCTGAATCGACGATCGACGCTATTCAAATTACGTATCGATCTAACACCGGTGGCACGTTAATGCACATCGCGCCTCGCATAGGCGATCAATATTTCACCGTTTCCGTTTATAAAGACAAGGTCACGGTATCGTGGCGATTGGACTTACAAAATCAAGGGGTACTGACTTTCGGTAAGATTGAACCCGATGGAAATTGGACGTCCATCGTATTGAGATTGAACAATAACTCGATGGAATGCGGATACGCGAATCCCAATGACGAATACGCATCGCACGTTAGCCCGAACTTCAGTTTTTCCTTGTGGTACGATTTACTGATCACTGGAACGATCACTCTTGGCGGTCTTGGTTCCACTTTATCGAGTCAACACAGCTACGTGACGATCGGGACCAGTAAGCAAATCCTGGAGAATAAAAATGGTGTCAGCGATAATTCGATTGACTTTACTGAACGTGCGTTGACCACTGCCTCTCCGCCTTATAGCGTGATGTCAGGTAATGAAATTAATCTACTATCATTACTTTTATTTACAACTTAAAATTTTTAAATGTTGAAATGAAGATTTGTTAAAATTTCATTCGGAATTCATAAGTGGAAAATATATTTGGGCTTACAGGAGAGGCTTTCAAGGGATGTTTGGGTGAAGTAAGAATTGGTAGCATGCTCCTGCATTACTTCACGTACAAAGAGGTATATCAAAACGCTAATTTTACACCCTTGGAATACCTAGCGTTGCAGGAAAATAACTCGACGTATCACGACAGTATTGGCTGTCAGCTTTGCTTCGATTCTGATTGCAAAAATAACGGCTACTGTCTAGATAAAGTCCACAGTTATATCTGTAACTGTCCTGCTGGATATACAGAAGACGATTGTTCCTTTGACATAGACGAGTGCATTGATAACAAATGCGAAAATGGTGCAACGTGTGTTGACGGAATTGCTAATTACACGTGTGTCTGTAATAGCGGTTGGCAGGGTTGGCAGTTAGTATTCACTTACCCTCCGCTCTTCGCCATTGAAAATTATTTAACGTCTAACTAATTTTACTCTTTGGTTTAGATGTGACAGCGATATAAACGAATGTGTAACGATTAGGCCTTGCGAACACGATGGTGTATGTCTGAATTATCCTGGCTACTTCCACTGTGAATGTCCAGATCAATTCACAGGCGATCGATGCGAAAGTTTTCGTCTTATCACTTGCGAAAATCAACCGTGCAAAAATGATGGCGTTTGCACGGACATCGTAAATCAGAAAACGGGTGATAATTTCACCTGCGCGTGCATGACCGGTTACGAAGGCTCGGTTTGCGATACTCCTTACTGCATCGGAAAGTGTCAAAACGGCGGTCGATGTGACGTTTTAAATCAGGTACGCGCGCGATCTACTTTCTTATTGTTATAATTGAAAAAAATCATTTCTTACATTTCCTAAGTCCGTAGTTCACGATATTTCCTTTCTGTGAATTATTAGGTACCACAATGTACGTGTCAACCTGGATACACTGGACCTTATTGTGAAATTAACATCGACGATTGCGCGCCAGACGCAGAAGGGAATGTACCGTGCAAAAATGATGGAAAATGCTACGACGGTATAAATAATTTCACCTGCGATTGCAGCGGTACCGGCCACACAGGACCCGATTGCTCACTTGACATTAACGAATGTCAAGATATGATGACCGATTGTGGCCACGGACGCTGCGAAAATCTACCGGGAACTTACCAATGTATATGTGAGCTGGGTTATTGCGGATATAATTGCGGAATGGTCGATCCGTGTAAAGAGGTAAGAAAATTCTCTTCTAATATATCGATAATTATAAGTTACAATTGTATGAATAATTTTTTACGTCTAACGTTCCTTCTTGCCTTCTTCAGCAAAATTATTGTCAAAATGGAGGAACGTGTACGTGTGGAGAAGACGGTGGCTACAGATGTCAATGTATACCAGATTACACGGGACCAAATTGTACAGAGGTACGTTCTAATACAATAGTAGCATTTTTTTCTGCATGTAGCATCATTTAACCACTGTCGATTTATTACAATGAACTATCGGAAACTAATGAAATTTCCATTTTTTCAGACGGAAACCAGTTTTCTGGGTAGCCAAGCACTCGATATAGCTGTAATAGTCGGTCCTATTGTGGGATGTCTGTTGCTTATCGCTGCTGGCTCTTTAATCGCGTTATTCATGATGGCCAGAAAGAAACGGGCCACTCGGGGAACGTATAGTCCAAGTGCTCAAGAGTTTAGTAATCCGCGTGTAGAGATGGACAATGTGATGAAACCACCGCCGGAAGAGAGATTAATCTAAGAGGTTTCTTGTGATGAAAATCTACCGACGAATCCTAGTCTACTGAGAATAGGCATGCATCTGCCACAGTACTCGACGACATTAACGGGAAAACTGAGATATCATCCCGTCGATCGAACTGATTGTTGAACGACGAGTGAAATGTATGTACAATGAGGTTCCATCACGCGTCTTCTAGTCCGTGCTACATTATCGCTCTACGAACAAATTGGCATAACGCACCAAGTGAATCAACTGAGAAGGGTAATAATTATCTTAATCCGTAATCATATTTTTGATTACAGAATACAAATTAAAAGACTAAGGAGAATGCTAGAAATGAAACGTATTGAAACTGCCTATAAAATTAAAAAAAGAGAGAGAGAGAAATCTGAATTGAAACGGCTTAATTGCATGTGTGACAGTGAAATGAGAAATGTACAGTAAAATTCGTGTATGTCAGTCATGTTATTCATAGAATTGTGTAGTTATACAAAGTGTACTTAAAAACTTCATGAAGTGCCCTTAACAAGCAATACTCGAGAGAAGCTCCTAAGAAACGAAACCCGTCCATCTTAGTGCCTAACTGATTCTACTTAAAGCTTCTATTTATAAACAATAAATTCGTAAGCATCGAAAGTGTACATTTCAAGTAATATGTTAAGAACCAATTTATTTAAATTGGGATCTCTAAACAGCATAATGTTACTCGTTATTGTTTTACTCGTTAGATCTTGGGCAATCACGATACAGATATTTTTAAATACTAATACGGCGTAGTGATATTATCATTGCGAAGGTACGTAGGTAGGAACGTTGTAAAATATTATTGTTAACAGTAGTGATCATGAATTACGAGCTAATTATTGTTTATGCGATTGCACGCTTTTCTGTATCGACGTGCTTGTTCAATCTGTACATAAATTTAGATTATAGGTTGAGAAAATTAATAACAATTTTACCATTACCATTTTATATGAATATAGTATTTAATGATGATTAATTTTTATCTAATTGCTTAATACCACGACCAAAGTAATAGCGAAGAAATACTTTCGTCTGTAAATCAATGATATAGACGCGAATGAGGGAGATATCATCGTTTTACTTAGCTGTTTTTTTCATCTTACAGAAGATAGAAAGTTAACGTATTGTTATTGCCTCTTTCCAACTATACATAGATGTATATTATTTTTACACATTACAGAAATTCTTAGTCGAAAAATACACCGTGATACGTCGATGCAAAATATTAACGTGCTTAGCGCGAGCATGTTATTCTTCAATAAATATATATATATATGTAGTACATATATTGAATGGGAACACTAAATTGAAATCACTATAATAGTTATTGTATTGTATGATAATAATCAAAAGACACAGCATCGATCATGTGAAGTTTATACTCGATACGATAGGAATTATCGTATTATTTTATCGTAAAGAATAATTTCTTTCATTAAATGTGTATTATAAAGTGAATATCATTAATGTTTTCTGCAAGACTGATATTTTTGGGTATTAAGAAATACGTATATACATGCGCTTTTCACACGAGTACTTATTTTGTGACAATATGCAGTATTGTGCATAAAACAATTATTAAAATTTGAATTAAGTGTAAAAAAATAATAAAAATTCAAATAGTTTAACTTTGATCTTTATTTTTTATGTAAGAAGTATTTACAAAACCCCTGATGTCCACGTACTAAATGAACTTAACAACTTTGTAAGTTACTAAGTATTTCGATTCTAAATAAATTTAATAGTTACGTCATATAAAGTCTACATATAAAAATGATATTTAAAACTGTTTTAATAAAATTTATAAAATAATTTGACTAGACAGAATAATTTTACATACTTTGTATATCCTACGTGCATTTTATAAAAGTTGAGAATTCCACTTACTCATTTTCTCACCTAAATTTATGTTAAACTTTCTTTCCATTTACTTTGCTTAGTTTCTCACGTGAGATCTTATCAAAAAATAAAAGACCAGCAGCTCGTTCTATACTCTCTGGTGGTACCTAGATATTTTATAACAACGGTCATATTCGCGAACTTCTTTCTATTTAAAGAAATTTCTACATTACATAAATATAAAACTTAAGTATACCTGAAAGTTTACTAATGGTGTATCGTCATCTATAGGTGCATTTGGCATTACGAATGCTTCCATTTCTAATTTTGAATCATATGTTTCACCAACAACTATTTTATAAAAATGTGTTGGTACTGATACGTGGTTTGCACCAATAACTTCATATCGAACATACTTTTTCCCATCAGCCTCTATTCTGTAATAACATGTCCAGGCTCACATACAAGAGCTAATATACTAAAGAGTATATAACTCACTTTGGCAAATATAGAGGACCAGTACAAACATATACTTCCTTATATGTCCTAGTTAAATGTCTAACATATTTTTCTAATCTATTCCATGAATCCCTATTAAAACCTCTACCAACTTGAGGTGCCATATTCGTTAAAAAGAATGTTTGCTCCATGTGTGTTTGTTCGTACTTATGATTTCCAGCTGCTGCTAAATGTCCACGGTCATATCCGCTGCCTTTATAGTCACTGTTATCTGCTCTAATTTTCCATTTGTATTATTAAACAGTATTTCAGAAATATGGATATCAAATAGAAGTATCAAAATGTTTACCTAAAGAATGGGTGTATACTTGTATCAGGTTTAAATTCACATTTACTACGCGACACTTCCTTATTGAATTGTAATCTATCTTTATTTAAATGTTCAAATACCCAATGAGCTACTCTGTTTCTTCTGTCATAAGAGAGAACAAAATCCTCGTAAGATCTTACATGATCTAATCCAGGGAAACCGTATTTCATAATCTATGAATGAAGAAATAGAATCATATTATTTTTACCATGAATTCCCCCTATTTATAGTTACTGAAATATTGTCAGGGTTAGCTGGTTATATTATTAATTTAGATGTCACATGTTTACCTCAGATACTCTTGTAGCTGTTGACGACAATTTTGAACCCATATTTACTTCAGACTCTGCGGGAACAAATGCACTGGCTGCAGAAACAGTACCAAATAAAGGCAAGCCAGGCATTTCTTTAATTTGTATATTTCCGAAAACACTTGTTCCGCTATCTCTTATTTCTGCATTCAAATGTCGTTTCTGTTCTGTATATTTACCAACGTACCAGCCCGTCAAACCTATGCTAGTCGCAGCACTGAGGTTTAAAACGAGACGTGTTACTGCTTTCATATTTGTCTACGCAGTTTTAATTAGTTTTAATTAGATCCAAACGAAACTTTTTTCTTAGAAACTCAGAACTATACTGTAACCTGCTATAACCTATTTTATATGCATAAACACATGCGTTATATATGTACCACGGTCGCGGTATGTACACGGTGTACACGTGAAACCTCTCAGTCTCTCACTCCTCTAATAAGGCGCCAACTATGCGCTAACTATATTAAGTTGAATATCACACATGTGTAGAGATCATCTCATTCAGGCTGATTCAGGCTTCAAATATAATAAAAACTAATATATATTGTAGTAACAGCTCTTATAAATATAAAATTGTACTTTCATAATTGAACACAGAACTTAATTTAAAAAGAACTTTTTTATTTATTCTCGAGGTCTATTTTTGTACAAAAACTGTCTTCGGCTAACGAGTGTACAAGCACTTATGCGCTTTAATATTTACATGTTTGATCATAAAATATCAGCATTTTGATAAATACAGAACATGGATAAATATAAATAATCATTTTGATAAAACAATATAATAATTAGGAATTTTTGAGATTATCTGATTACGACGCAGACGTAAGACATGAAGATTATGTTCATTCGCTGCAAGCCTCATCTGAATCGTCAGCTAAAATAACGTCATATCCAGGCAATGTACTAGGATCAAATGTTCTTTGAAAACATTTTTGAAAAATTAAACGTGCTTTTTTAGCTGGTGGAGGTGGCGAGTTTGGAACTTTATCTTCCTCGACTACGTTACGTTTATCATTACTAACATTTTGTTCATTATAAGGCTCATGATTGTTCGATTTTCTTTTTATTATATTACTAAATACAGAACTGACTAATCTTTTCTCATTTGCAGATATTTCACGTAGCCTTGTAGACTTATCACTTTCTGCTCTAGAATCCCTTTGAGATTTTTCATGAGTATTCTTTGCCAGCAAATAACTTTTTTCAATTACGTTTTGATTATTGTTTCTCGACGTACTAGGATTACTTCGCTCGTTAGAATCATCTTGTTCTTTCTGGTTTTCTTCCTCCATGAAACATGGATGCAAGCTTGAACGAGCCGGGTTTGACACACAATTCAACGTAGCTGATCTATTTTTCATTCTCAGTGCAGATTTAGTATTGGATTTTCTAGAACCCCGTCTATTTCCTGTTGCCGTTCTTACAGATTTATCTTGTTTATTCATTAATATCGTTTCCGTTTGAGTATCTGCATCAGGGTTTAGCGTTGACAATACCAAATTTGTTTCAAATGACGGATGTTTTAAGGCGAATATTGCAGGTCTAAAATAAACATTCGTACACATACATGTCTATTAGAATCAACTATGAATTATCAATTGTTTACCTTCCTGCTGCTCCAAAATATATACTAACTGATGCGCCTACAGTTTCTGCAAAACTTAAGATAGATTTGAATTCCTTCATACAAAATGTAATCGCTGTTTCACTACTGACATCGTATCGATTGAATTCTCCTTTAGCGAGTACGAGCTGTGTACGTGTCGTATTGGACAGACCTAAGTAGATTTTTATTTTATTTTAAAACAAAAAAAAAAACAAATAAATCACACTTTACTGTATTAACTTACCCGTAGTATCATCAACATAATTTCTGAGCAAAAGTTTTTGTGCAGCGACTTCGAGTGTTATTTCAACTAACTGTTGATGGAAATTCTGTATTGCGTCTCCGAATACTTGTGCTTGGAATGAGAGTTTATTTGAGGCACTATCCTTATCGTAACCTGTCTAAAAAGATAATGAAAAATGTCTGTAAATATTGTAGAAACCGAAGAAAGAAAATATGTAAAATTCATAATGTATACCTGCAATATTTCACAATCTAATATAGGTAGCAAATGAGTTTTGATAATACTGTTTTTGTATTTTAAAATAAATATGATTTCAGATGCATTTGGTTCTAATTTAATGTGACACGTTTCCACCTGTTTATCTATTACATTGATAGACTTAAACACAGCCATCGCACTCTGTAAAACATGAGAATTAATTTTTTTTTAATATTACATGCATGTGCATGATTATATCTTCTTACCCTCATTGAAATTTTGCATTTTAATGCATCACTTTCCTGAAGATCACCGTAAGCGTAATGAGCGAAAAAGTTTTCAAAAAACACAAAATCAGCATACGCTGAATTTGCCATGTTAACAGTACGAAATGCTACATTATTTTCCTGTGGTTCTATGTACATTTCATCCCCAATTTTTGCTAACGTATGTACAGCTTTCGCTAGAACTAACGAACATTTTGTTTTTATAAGAATATATTTTTCAGGTAAAAATCTAACATCATATAACCTGAGTAAAATCAGTATACCTTTTACATTTATCGATGGAATAACACACTTCATATTCGATACTTTTCATTAAAATGTTTCCCATTAATTAATGATGTGTCAGAAAAATTAATTTAATAGTTAATTGACAGAAAATAAGAAGAGATACATGAGATCAGATTATACATAACTCAAGACACAATACGCGAACTACTGAATTTATCAAATTAATCAGATCTTAGAAACTTAACTAACAATGAAATTAAATCTTAGTATGTAGAACTATATTACATTATTTTACAAACAATCGACGATCAACATGATCTCGAATCTCGAAGCCGAAAACTTAGCCTATCTGTCAAATCAATTCTTGCCACCGTGTGGCCATCGTGTTTGACGTTTACCTAAGTTTCGTAGTTGACTATCAACAAATGCAATAAAGTAATAATCAGCGGTAGAAAAATATACGGAAAGTAGAGAAAATAATACTAATTCGTCATGGTGAGTAAACGAATTCATATATTAATTGTTAAAATGGAATTAATATTTTGGCTTCAAGATTTAACCTCCAGAAAGGATATTAGTACTCTTTATAATTACTAGTTCTATTGATAAATTTAAAGTATATGGCTTTGAAATTACATTATGTGATCTTCAATTTTACTTTTAATATTTTTTGTGTCACACGTATTGGGGAAAAAAATGATTTCGGTACTATTTTATGTATTTCCAGCTTGTTTTAGTATTGGGAGATTTGCACATACCACACAGATGTAGTAGCCTTCCAAGTAAATTTAAAAAGCTGTTGGTACCTGGTCGCATACAACATATTTTATGTACAGGTAACCTTTGTACAAAAGAATCTTACGATTATTTGAAGACATTAGCTAGTGACGTACATGTTGTTAGAGGAGACTTTGATGAGGTACATATGGATGAAAGATTGTTATTATTGTTGTACATGTTTAAAAAGGAATTCATCTTCTTATCATTTCTTTATCACTTTTCTTGTAGAATTTAAATTATCCAGAACAAAAAGTTGTTACTGTTGGTCAGTTTAGAATAGGTTTGTCACATGGACACCAAGTAGTACCTTGGGGAGATCCAGAATCATTAGCTTTGATTCAAAGGCAATTAGACGTTGATATTTTGATATCAGGTCATACACATAAATTTGAGGCGTATGAACATGAAAACAAATTTTACATTAACCCTGGCTCAGCAACAGGTGCATACAATCCCCTTGATACGTAAGTTTTTATGTTCATAATACTGTAATATCTATCCAACATAAAAAATAGTCATTAATACTTTATTATTATTACGCACATACCAAATCTATTTAAATATTTTCACATGCATATTATCTTTGTAGATCAGTTATACCATCTTTTGTTCTTATGGATATTCAAAGTTCAACAGTTGTAACTTATGTGTATCAACTTGTTGGCGACGAAGTAAAAGTCGAAAGAATTGAATACAAAAAGAATTGAAACGTAAATACAGATTAAAACAAAATGCATCTTTATTAATTAAATATGTTATTCCTGTTTTGTAAAGACAAGAATCGATATCAATGCATACACGATCTTTATCAAATCTTAGATGCATAAAGTTAATGTCTAAGCATTTATATAAGAATTTTAATTGTATAATAAAATGTAAATAAATTACATTATTACACAAATTGCATTAAATTCATTCAATAATTAGAATAACTTCTAATTGCAAGTAAAACATTTTCTGCTTTCCCGTTGTCTAAGAAAAACGTTTATTTTTTTTCTTTTTACGTTCTGTGTACGTGGATAAAAGTACTTAACTAAATCGCACCATGCTTCTCGTCACGTACGCGTATTTGCGTACATTTAAATGTGCACATATAATCAATGTGACCTACTTCTACTACACGAAAATTTCTTTCTTACGGGTATTTAGTTGCATCATTATTTACGTGCCGTAATGTTTTTGTTCAACGGCGTAATTTTTTTAATGCGAATTAAGAAAATGGAATCCTCAAATTTTCTTTTATTATTCATTTATATTAGATTTTTAAGTTCGTCATATATTTTTCTTCACTTGTCTAAAAATATAATAAGTATATTCGTTAGTATGAATGTACAGATATCTCAAACGATTTTGGAGCAGCTGTGATTCCACGTTCAAGTGAAGCTGGTCCAAAATCATTTGAGTTATCTGTATATAATACGTAAATGTATAATTTTATCTATGAAAATAATGGAACGTGCACGAGAGCATGGACCTAATGCACGAGAGCTCGTAAACAAGGGAAATCAAAAAAAGGGGGGCGAATAGACGCTATTACGCAGGCGTAAAGGACAAAGAGGGGGCAGGAGACTGACCCAACAAAAGGGGCCCACTGTTTTCTTTCTCTTCAGTTTACTCTTGAATCTTGAACGACTGTGAGTGAGAATAATAAATTTTCTTAATTGAGCAATTTACCGTTTGAGTTAAAATGGCAAATGCATTATTACGAATGGGTTTAAGATCTGTGACTTCGAACACATTTTTGAAAGAACGAGCTATTTCAGCTTTATACTGTGAGTTACCGAAGACATACAACTGCGTTCAGCCAAACTACAAATTGCAGGTAAGTTCATTTTTATACTATAGATCTAAATTAATGTTAATATTTTTTCAACTGAATCGTTATATTAAGAATGTTAGAAATGAAAGTAATGAAAAATAATAAGGTCTTAATCATAAAAGTAAAATGTTTTGTGGAAGACGTTATAGTGAAGAAAAAATAATATATATTTTAAATTAAAAAGATTACATGTATTTTAATTTTTCCAGAGAAGTATAATTTTTTCAATATCAATTTTATTCTAATACATAAGCACGCTTCTCTTTTTTGTGTGCGTTATTCTCAAAATTAGAGGTCACTATCACGTATCTCTTAAAAAATACTGTAAACATATACATAATGTTATCGTTCTAATTTCCTATTGTACGTTTTACGCGTAAATTTATATAAATTACGGTTTTACGCATACACATATGTAATATGCAAGTTGTATATTTCAATGTATAATTTGCCGTGTTTTTAGACTTTGTCTATTCTATCTGTTGAGTAATATCCGAATATCCGCCCTACTATTACGATTTCACGTTGCATCGGAGGTCACTGAACCCGATTTGTCTTGATCCAAATG